AATGGGATTTAAAGCACCGATGTGTAGGCTAATAGACAAACACGCTACTTCTTAGACCATATGACATTAACAATATTGCGCCACAGGACAAACACGAGCTTCAAGATATGACAAGCCCCTTCTAGATCTCAAATTTAGAGAAGGGGATTCTGCATTGATAATAAATCGTATATGTGCCACCAAACTTGGTACTCAATTAACTATTCCTAACTAAAATGCGCATATTTTCACCAGAAATGGTATAAGTGTATAAGCGATTGGATAATAGAACCTATACAAAATTATATCTTCCAACGTATCAAATTAAAACTATCAATAATAATAAAAGGCAACCAACCTGCGAGGTCTAAGAAAGCAAGCTAGCATTGAAGATAAGATAACCGCCAAACTAAAAGCTTCATATATATTCGCAGTGTGGATAAGAAAACCAGCTAAATGTGGTAGATCAGCGGAATCCGTATCACACTTGTCCTCATAAACGGTAACGGATGAGTTAGGAATGGCGACAATATCGGAGGAATTCGTCAAAGAAGCGGAGTCTGCGGCAGCTGAAAATTGAGGCGAAACAGGAGGTGATGGATATGGTGGAAAGACTAGTGGACCACTAGTTATCAGGGTTGTCCGGCCATTGCTGGAAGAGATGCTTGAAGAAGAAACAAGTAAGTTCGTGGATTCGGTAGACCCTATACCCAGACAGTCAATGGCCTCGAGGAACTGGGCGAAGAGACTTTCTTCTTCAGCCTGACTTAATGTGTCTGTCGACATATAAAGAGGTTGTAGATAAATAATGAGAAAAGTGAATCAAAACAACATGTGAAATAATAGCGATGATTAATTTGCTAGAATTTATAAAAATATATGGCTATAAAGAGTAAAAAGTTTAGTGAAGCCAAGTAAAAGTATATTACATTTTTTCGAGACCGCAAACTATGAAAAATCTAAGATTAATAAATAAACAAAAAGCCAGTAGCGCAAACAGTATGCAGGCAAATTAAATTAATAACAATTAATGCATTAAAAGATGCATTACAATTTTAAATATACACTTGCTAGGATTCATGAAAGATAAACTAAAAAAGAGAGTAATATTTTGATTGCTGATATAGTAGACTCCCCAAAAAGTGAATTTTTACCATATTGAAAAAATAACTAACCTTCATTGTCTTTTGAAAGACCGTAGACACCAGTCAGGAGTTGAGTGCCAATGAGAAGAATCTGCATATACGGACCGTAAAGACAAATTCCAGCCGATGTAACGTCGGGCAAAGTTGCGGGGGAAGAGCAGAGGATGTCTGGTCGGACTACAAGACCAATCGACTGGAATTTAGAATGCCAATAAACATAAATAATAGAATTTTAAATGTGAAATTATGGACACTTTGGCCCAAAAATTTAAAAACACAATTCTAAGGAGTAATGAGAAGCACTACAATTATATAAGATGAATTTGTCCCAAAGATTGTCTTCAATTATCACTGACAAGTTGTAGCCTAATACTAAGGATATCACTACAAAGTGGTGACGAAGGCGAAAATTGTGAAAGTGTACTAGTCAACAATAGGATGCTTGAAGCTATAGTGTCAGAGGACGCAATACAAAGTACGTCGTTTAGTTCGCTTTAAAAACACGATTGTGTCACTAAAATAGTAAAACATCTGGGAATTTAGCAGGTCAACAATCCAATGCTGGAAGTAATAAATAGTACAACAGAAGACGAGGAACTGGGTTACTTACATAATGTCTACCTGACACTCCGACCAAGTTGCGAAAACGAGGCCAAACCAACACAAAACTGTAACCAAACCAAAGGTCACGGTATTTTGGTCGTCATAGCTACGGAAATTTCAGATTTTTAGTGAATTTCCCAAGCCCCAAAGACCTGTATTACATTTTACAGCAAAGCGATCAAAAACCATTCCTGATTCCACGCGCTTATAAAAGGCAAGCGACTCCGTTTTTTTGAATAGCAATATGAATGTTAAATTTTATTTTAATTTAGATTAATTATAAACTTAAAACCTCAAATTATAAGTGAAATCTGATAGCACTTATTTCGCTTTATGTAACCTAAAGAAACAAAATTTAGGTTGTTATTATGATGGGAAGTAAAATAAATATAAAATAGGTGTAGAAGTTGTTTGAACTTGTTTTCGCAACTCGGTCATATTGGTAGGAAGACTTAGAGGAATGCACCTAGTCCAAAGTCCATTGTATGCATCATCACTTCAAGAGTAGGACCGTGGACGCGGTACATTCCCAGACGTTTCGCCGGCATCGTAATCGGCATCATCAGTGAGTCTCGCCATTCGTAGCACCATATTACAACTCTTCAAAGGGACAAGTGGAGCCCATCCTTTGACCAAACGCGTGCTAAACAGTTATGATATCTCCCCTTCTACCCTGGCCTATTCACATTTCCTATATCCTCCTATCATGCTTTCCCTGTCACAATTTTTACCGTGCTTATTTTTAATGTAGTAGCGGAATTCATGAAAACCCTTCACACTCTACACTGTCGTTATCACCCCCTTCACCCTTGTGCTGGGAATGTTGACCAGTCTGTCATATTGTTACGTAGTCCTTCCCTGGGTCCTATCAAAGTCTCCCTCTTTCCCCGTCAAATCCGTCTGCTATCTTCCTGGTACATATATTTCACTCGACCCCTGCCCCCTCCATCTGTGCTATTCGAGGCGTAATTCGTTCATCCTTTACATCTGGGCGATTAATTAGAGGCTAAAGCCTCAGAGTAAGTCTCATGGTCATACCTTTGCTACATGGAATACGTCTCTTGTAAAACCTACTGTAAGCCAACTAGCCCCAATCGCCGCTTCGTCTATCCTGTCTCTATTCCTAATGTTGTGGTATTGTTGGCTTTGTTTAGGTCCC